TCAGCCGCCGCCTCAGGGCGCCCCGACGCCCCCGGCGGCGGCCAAACCCCCCCAGCCCCGCGCCCGGCCGCCCGCCCCGTACCGTGCGGCTCCGCCATCCTCCCGAGGCGCGCTCGGCAGCCCCCCCACCTCCTCCTCCTCCTCCTTCTCCCCGCCCGCCCCTGCCGGCCACCGTCTCTGCGCACCGAGCCGTCACGGGACTCCCCGCCCACAGACCTCCCGCCGCACCACGGGGGCGGGCCCACCGAAGACGCGGGGCCGCCGACCGCTTCCAGGTTACGGCGCCGGCGCCATCTTGGCGGCGGGCGGAAGTGGAACCGGTTGCCCTTGGCGACGGGGAGGCGGCGGGGCGGGCGAAGGGAAGGGCCTGTGCGGGCCCGGCACCGACCTCCCGGGACTGAGGCCGGGCTCCCCGCTGCCTCTCGGCCCGGTGTCCCCGTAAGCTGTGGGGGCCGCCCGGACAGGTCGCCAGCCCTGCGCGGCCTCACAGCCGCCCCATCACGGGGAACCCCTCTGTCCCTGTCACCCTGTCACCGGGGAGAACCTTCTGTCAGGGTGTCCCGGAGCCCGGGGGGGACAGCCCGTAGCTCGGTCCGTTGCTGCCCGTCGCTCGTTACAAAGGAACTGTTCTGCCGCCAGTCCCACGGGTTAACTGGAGAGCCTGCCCCCAGGACAGACAGGAGCAGAAATCCGAATATAATGAGTTTTGCAGCTCTTCCCAGCGCTGTACGGGCAAGGCCCAGCTTCCCAGCTCTTGCCACAGGTCACCTTTAGCTCCCGAGAGATTACGAAGGAGACAGACCAAGGGACTGCCATGTTCCCACCTTTCCTTTTTCCACAAAACCGGGACCGTCCCCATTTGGCACCTGCTGTACCCTCACGCCATTGCACTGACTGTTCTTTCTTAGGAAATAATACCACATGTGTGGCCAAGCCACCCCGGCAAGGAATACGTGTGAGGTGAATGGCGATGGCCACTATGAAGGTGGCAACCGTGCCCCTGTGTCGGCAAATAACACTCCAGTGTGGCAGAGCAGCTGCCATCGGCCCTCATTTGATTGCGGATGGGATTTAAAAGCAAGTTCTTTGACAACTTGTCACAACCGATCCTTTGGTATTTTGCTGAGGAAGGTTTAGCTTTTTAATGCTAAATTCTCAGGCGGTTGCAATCAGTTCCCCTTTCAAGCACTGCAATAGCAGCTCAACTTTCTAATTTCTAAAACGCATTAAAGCTGGTGGGAGTCTGCTAATTGATCTCGGTACTTGCTGGCCTGGACACGTCCCACCGGCTCACGTTCGAAAGGAACAGCAGCCGCCTCAGCAGAATCAAAACCCTGAGTAAATTTGGGAGCCATTTCCTACATCAGATGATAGTAAGATCTAAGTATCTGCTATTTCCATCAGTTTTTTACAACTTTTGGTAATCATTGAGGCTAGTTTCAGTGAAAGCAGGCTATCCATGTTGGATTATCTGGGTTCTGCCAGTTTCCTTTGTGTGATGCTTTGGCAAACCAGACAGTTCGACGTGGTTACACACTTTTTGACTTATAAATGCTGGACAATGTTAAAAGCAGAATTGGCTTTTTGACATAATGGGTCACAGGGCAGAAACTAGGTGAAATTTTCTAGTGACAATATTTCTTACAATGACTGGATGTTTATTTGTTGTTATTACTCGGTAAAATCTGCAGCATGGACAGTGCACTGACCCCCTACAGCACATGGAAATACCTGCTTTGCCCTGAAAATCTTGGGAGTTTGAAAGATACTTTTTTTTTGTGTAGCTTATTTAAACACATACCGACATCTACGTAGAACTACACCTTTTGTGTTGAAGACAGTAGCATGTATTCACCATGCGTAGGGAGGATCTGAATGTTCTGTTGATTGTGTGCTGTACCTTTGCATTTCTCAGGCTTTTTGTGTGCAAAGTGCCACTGCCCAGTTGCTTTAGCATTGAAAAAGTGTGTACAAGGCACACATGCTCTGTGTACTCTGGTTGTTAGACATTTTACGTCTGTTTCTACTTGCTTTGCTTTCAAAAATATGATTTGCAATCTAAAAAAAATGTTACTTTGGACTCAAAAAACCCCTGGTTTGCTCTTTTGATGATGAAACATAAAACTGAAAAGCTGGTATAAAGCAGAGCAGGACAATTGTCACTAGACAAGGAATCAGCCAAGAAGTTTACACTGATAACTCCACCCTTCTGCTGCAATTTCTTAAATATGTCTTATGGGATTAGACTGATACCACAGTAATACTTGTGCCAACAGTCAGAACTAACAGACATTTTTTTGCAAAGGCAGAATTTGTACATGCAAGATTTGTTCTTAATCTGGACAAATGGAGTAGTTAATTTTATACCCTCCTACTGGATGCTGGAGAGCTCAGCTCCAACCTACTCCCAGCCTCCATCAGCACTGTTTGTCCCCAAATCTTTGTCAACACAGACCTGGCCCAGTGTAGAAGTTGAGCATAAGAGTCACAGTCCTTAGAATTATTAGTTAAGGGTCTCTTGCATTCAGGAGACTACGCTGACAGGCCCATATTGTGAACACTGTGGTACTGCAATAGAGTACCTCACCTTAAGATAGATCCACAGGCAGTAAGTCAGAGGTTCCTCAGTCTCCGTTGCCCCAGAAAACCCATAGAACTGTGCGAGGATCTTGAATTAATCCCACTCACACTGAAATAAACAGGAGGTGAAATATAAGTAATGGGCATTTCATAACCTACGTGTGTACAGATTCTGAATTAAGGTTTCATTGGCAATTTTATTTGGACATCATTGCCTAACTTTTCAACACTTGCCTTTGCAGTCTTCGTAATGTTCCTGTAACACCTGTCCTGAAAAGGACAACTTGCCGGTGCAGGACCATGCAGCATCACAGCACCTCCATGGGCCATCAGCTGTGCTGGTACCTTTGTATGACCAACACAGACCTCTGCCCCTTTTACTCAGGGAGAAACAGATGGCAAGAGCAGACTGTTATCCTCCATCTAGACCAGCAGCAGTGGGGGATGAGTGTTGGAATTCGGATTATTCAGTGGATTCATAAGATCCTTCCTAAGGCTATTTAGTATTTACACAGTTGTTTCAAGCATGTTTCTACAAAGCAGTGTGATTTATTAGGAGCTAGCTCTTACACAATGAATAATATAAAGCAATTAATTAGTTAAGCTTGCTTAAGCTGACCACAAGATCGATCTAGCAACTTCAGAATCATCTCTGACTGAATTCAGATACCTCTGATATAATAGCCCCACTTGCCTTCTCTTAATTTAGTGGCATCCAGACTAATGAATTGACCCTTTCTCTCTTGGTCCTGTGGCCTTTTCACTACCTCCTCCCAACTGTAAAATTTTTGTCATCTAACCAGAAGAAAGCCCGCTCTCCTCCCCCAGGCAGGCAGCTGCTGCCGCCTTGCCCAAGGACACTCCATTCTAGTCATTTCTGTAACTCGGGCTGGGGCAGATGGCAAAAAGAGCCAAATTCTTTGCCGGCTGAGCCAACGTGAAGGCCAGCCTCGGGGAAGTTCTGTTCCACTTCCAGCTCTGGAAGACAGGATGTCCCAATGAGCACAGCCCGTTGCGTCCCATTCCACCCATGTAGCCCTCAGCTCTGCCCTGTGGGGGGGTGCCTCCCCAGCACCCCATTCCCTTCCCCTCTGCCTGGGCCTCACCTCTCCTTTCTTCACCTCCAGCAGGGCCTCCAACTTCAGCTCCCCATGTCAGGTCCAACCAGTCAATGTCTTGTCTGGTTCTTTATCTCATTGCCTGTCCCTCTGACTTTCCTGTCTCTTCCTTCTCATCTCCTTGGACTGGCAAACTGTATTCTGCTGTGTCTTCTGTCCCTCCCCTGGTGCTAGTTCCTTGCCAGCCTCAGCATAAAAATCTAATTCCCAGTTTCACTTTCTTTGTGAATCTCAATCTCCCTCTACCATATCTTAAATCTCCAAATTCCTAGTACCTAAATTTTATCTTCCTCTCGCCTACACCTCAATCTACCCAGACCTTCCTACCCTGTCCTATTTCTTCCCCTTCTCTTGAATGATCAGTTTACCAGAAGTTTGGCTGGAGTCTTTTAGGCAAGGGCTGCACGGTGTTCTATCTCGGCTGTGGGGGAGAGAAGCAGGTTTTGAAGGCTTATGGCATAACAAAAACCTATTTCATTTTGTGAGCATCACGATCACGAGAACAGTGCATGCCCTCGTCACTGCTTTTCCATCTTCCCCTTGAATGTAAGCTTGGCTCTGCTGCCTTTATGGTGGGGCTACAAAAACTGGAGAAACTGAAAGAGTTGGCACAACTCAGGGAGAGAGGAAGGGTGTTAGGCACAGACACTGTACCTGAAGGACACACACGGACGTTCAGAGCCCTTGTCAACGTCTAGAAGCTAATCTTGCACCAGAGTGGCTGAGAAGATCCATCACATTGAAAACAGAGACTGCCCCACCAGAGCGAAAGCTTCTGCTTGGTGTGAGATGCTGTTGCAATACAAAGAAGGGGAACCTCAAAATGTGGTTCTCTTTGAAGGACTACAGTACAGTAAGATGTTTCTATTTTTATTGTCTGTTCCTTTTATGTGTTCAGAGTCAGGTTTGCTTACTTGAGTGACAAGAAATTATTTTTGCTTTTTCCTCCCGTTGGTTCTGCAAAGCAAATGTAGGATAAAAAGGACAGGGTTTGATTAAGGTATACCTATGTTCTCCAAACCAAGTAGCATGATTTAGGGTTGTAAAACTCCCATGTAAAAAACAATTCTGGTCCTGCCAGCTTTGGCTTTCAACTCATTAGCCACCTATCTATGTCTGTCGGGCTGTTAGCAGTTTTTTGAACAGATTTCCTAGGTCTTACAGGAGCTCTCTCTTCCAGGTGGAAAGACACAACATATCAACGCTGAAACAGCACATCCAGAATGCCATGCATGAAATTATTTTCTCTTATTTACTTGTATGCACACAAACTTTATCAAGTATGCACTGTATCCTGGCTGCCCCAGGGCCAGCGGCTCCTCAGTTTATTTAGTGCAAGGGAAAACTGCAAATCCAGCAGGCTATCAAGCAGGCTAATCTTCAGTTATACAAACGGAGAGTCAACCAGTTCAAACAATTTATCTTTCAAAGTCAACACTACAA